CGAGGCCCATGATAGGCGAGACCTTAGGACAGGATCAGTCGTGTGAGTTTAGCTTATGTGTTGTGATATGTTTATGTGTTATTATTTGTTGGCGGGCGAGGCCCTGTGACAAGCGAGGCCTAAGAGAAACAGATCTGTATCTGAGCGGGGCTCGAAGCCAGGCGGGGCCTGGAGCGGAGGGGCTGTTGTAGCGGGCGAGGCCCGAGGCAGGGGGCGAGACCCAAGATAGTGGGCGTGGCCCAGTATGTGCAGTATGTGATTATGCATGGTATGTGGTAGGGTGGGGAACTCACTAGGCTTCCTGCTTACAGTTTTCAATTTTGGTTTCAGGTACTTCCGGTAGCGGAGGGAAGAGCTCAGGGTGATCGCAGGGCACACACCATTGATTAGACAGCCTGGGAGTGTTTACTCTGATAATGAACATGTGTTTTGAAAATTAATACTCTGATTATGGTTTGGAATGATGACTTTGCTTAAAGTAATGTTTTATTAAAAGAAATTTTTGGTCTTGAATTTTGGGTCGTTACATGTTATCTGCTGTTATGATCCGTTAAATCAGTATCCTGATAGATAGGATGTCATATGTTGCTATGATCTGTTAGATCAGTATCTTGGTAGCTTGGATGTTATTATGCTATTATGATATGTTTGATCGGTTTGTCTGTCTATAGACTGTTAAATGTTATATGTACACATGTTTGTTTGGCGGTTGAGACTTATCTTCTTTGTGCAAAAGCCAATAGACCTGGGCATTCCAACCTGTTGGTTGCAGGCCATGAGTATTCCATCCCGAGGATGATTTGACTCATAGTATGTGGGCATTCCAACCTGTTGGTTGTGGGCTCGGGGTATATCGGTATTCCAACCGGATGGTTGAGGGCCTGGGGTATTCCATCCCGATGGATGATTGGACCCACAATACGTTGTTTGTCATTATATGTGTATTGTTGTGTGTATGGGTATTTTTGGGGCAACTCACTAAGCTTTCGGGCTTACAGTTTCAGTTTATTGTTTTAGGTTCATTGGATGGCCACAGGAAGGCGAAGGCGTGACCGTATACTTCATCGATTGATGATTATGATTTTTGGGAACTTTGATGTTTAACTATTTTGAAAACAAATTGTAATGACTAAATAGTTTTAAATGATTTAAAAAGTTTTAAATTGGATCGAATTTTGTGGATGTTTTTTTTTTTTTGGAAAGGGAACTTCCCTAACGAGGGTTTCCGGGCCAGCTTTTGCGCACCGACTAATCCCCCGCTGCAAACATAAAGCTTTGCTTCATGCCCTGGAGTCACTGCAGGCGAACCTCCATGGCCACAAGGGCTGAGTGGTGCTAGGATTTGAACATGGGTCAATAGGTTATCCACCATATCTTCCACATGCCTTACCAAGTCACCACAACCCAAGTGGTTAATTTTGTGGATGTTACAGTAAGCACTAAGCTTAGTGAGTTCCCCAAAATACCACACACACAAATAATTAGCCTCTCATGACTATATCTCGATAAGGACCCTCCAGCCATGTGTCTTAGTGAAGACCCTCCGGTCTCACGACTCTGTATCGACCAGTAGCGAGTCTAGAATATAAAATCACATGATTCACTTTTTAAATATAATCGATAAAAAATAGTTGTGCGTCAGGATCAGGTCGAATCGTATAAGCAAAAAAAGATTTGAATTTCTTATAGTTGTATCGGGATGAGGTCTTATATATTGATATAGATTTTCATAATTTCACATGGTGAACTTAAATAAACTCTTAAATGTTTATGTTCCTCATTATTTTTTTCTACTATTTTTTAATCCTTCTTTAAAAAAAACTTTAATAAAACATTTTTTCCTAATTCTGAAACAAGCAGCAAGTCAAAAATCAACAATAAAAAACAAAGAAATAAGGTATTATCGATGAAACAATGATTTTGTTTTTGGTGTGATATTTTTTATTTCGTTAGTTATGAGATTTCTTATTGCACAATTTTTAATTTACAAACAACAATCAAAATATCAAATAATCAAACAAATGAACTACGATCAAATAATCAATTCATACTAAAACAAATAAAAAAACGCATAATAAACAATCATATAACAATCAAAATTTATTTAGTTGAATCATTGAACAATTCATAAATCACCCTTCAATATTCACTATTAACGAGAAAAGAAAACCCTACTCGTCATATTCACAATTTATTATTAACAAACATTTAATATTAATTATATTAGAATATAGGAACAATGATCCAGTGAAGCAATAAGTTAAAAAATAATAAATAAATAAGAAACTTACATTCAGTTGAATTGTAATTTGTGAATTATGAACTCTAGATCTTTGACGACTAATTAATCGATGAAATTGGAGTTTTGCCCTTGCCTTAGGAGTTCCTATTGAGTCACTGCCCCCTAAGTAGTCACTCACGATTTATTTAATTTTTTGTTTTTTTATATTGGGCTATATATTATATCTAAACCTTTAGACTTTTAAAGTATTGAATATATGCTTTAAAACTTTAATTCTGAATATCTTTTTTCCAATAATAATAGGTAGTCACTTGTTTTTTTAGATAGGTCACATTTTTTAATTATATATAAGTTATTATAAAAGAAAAAAAAGTAGGTCAAGTGCCCTACCTTCAACCTATGTAACCTCGCCACTGGTATCGACCCTCCGGTCGTGAAGACCTTCCGGTCTCACTACTCGGTATGGACCCTCTGATCATAAGTCAAAATAAACACAAAGTAATAGAGCAACATAATTCACAAAGATAGAATGCATAATATCACTTAACTCAATATAAGAACATAAGAACTGCCGGTCAATAACACAAATAAGACCCTAATAAATATATGTTCAATATTCTATAAGAATAAATGATATAAGTAAAAAAATTACCTGAATTTTCCGATTGATTTTCCTCGTTATGGAGAATCTATGAATCAAAACTGAATTGATGATTTTCTTCGTCATGATGATTTCTTTCGATGTAATTCATATCTAAATCATCCATACATGTTATATTATTGATATTAATAAATTTATTTTCAATATTCTATAAGAATAATATGTAGTAACATATACTATCTTTAAAAGAACAAATATAATAAAATCAAAATGTTAGTTATAAAATTACATTGGGTTTCTGATTGATTTTCCTCGTTACGAAGAAACTCTGAATCATTAGAGCCAAATTGATGATTTTCTTCATTGTGATAATTTTTTCCGATGTCATACATATCTAAATCATCCATAACTGTTATCATTATTGATATTAATAAATATATGTTCAGTATTCTATAAGAATAATACGCAACAACGTGAACTTATCAACAATATGATTTTAATGAAAAGCAATCATATGACAAATTGTTGAAAAACATATTGATTGAATGAAAGATTAAATCAAACAATGAAATGGATGATGTATTGACAAATAACATATTATAAGTTAGATTGTGTTATAGGTTAAACAAATTCAATCAATCAATATGATGTTTGATTGCTTAAATCATGAATCATGCACACATGAATTGGATAAATCGCTAATAGCTTGATGATTCAATTAGTTCATGTCACTAGGTTAACAATTGAACATGTTATATGCAAGCAACAATGAAAACAATGATAACCCAAGGAAGAAAACTCAAACCTTGATCAATTGATGAAATCATGATGTAGAGTAAAAATCACAACTTGATAGATCGAAGCAATTGTTGAAGATGAAGATTAACATAAATCACTGAACACTTGAACTTCAACCTGGGATGAAATCGATGATCACAGATCTAAAACCGATGCCAATCTTGTAATAAGTTGCAGATGTTGATAGATGAACATAAACCTCAATCACTAAGATTATCACTTGTAGATGTAGAAGAATGAAGAACATGAACTCGGAAAAACACAAAAATCACGACTTTGAAGGCTATGATTTAGAATTGTTCGATCAATGAATGTCCATCTTAAATCGATGATCGGTTTAAAGAATTGAAAATTTAAGGAGATAGAAGATCAATTAGCATGAATTGAAGATTTAAGGAATGTTGATCCGGGCGAAGATCTTGGTAGAAAGAATTGAAGCAGCTGGCTTTTGTGATGACCTGAAGATGACACTAACATTATGATCATATCTGATGATCTAAAGTTGAACCTAATTACTAATTTGCCCACAATTAACTACTTAATTAGATTAATTAGTGTTAATCATGTTTTTTTATGAGCCACAATATCAATTTTGATCAAAGGCTAAGATTTGGTCCCCATATCTCACAAATATCATTGGTCTCAAATGATGGTTTGGTTTGGGTATCCATAGATACTTAAATATCCAAACCGAAACCGATTCATAGGTAACTGTTTTTTCGGTTTTGATTTATTACGAGTTTGGATTGAACAGATCGGATCTATTTTGTTAATTCAGTGATACATCACTTGGAAATTAGTGGTTTGTTATTTTTTTTCTCATAAAGTTAAAAATACATTATCATATTGATGTTTAAGAATGATATAAAATTTTGTAATTATGTCATATTTTCTATTTTTTAAAGTCTTAGTTTATTATTTGATTAAATACCATTGATTAATTTTTTCAGTTATGTCATATTTTATTATTTTTTTAAAATATTATTTTATTATTTGATTAAAACCATTGATTATTATTTGTTTATTGTCAATGGTCGGTTTAAAAATTTCGATCGATGAAAGGCTATAGAGTTCTAACTTGTGAGATTGTCCTACTTAAGGATTATCGACAAGATAAAATCTTAGAAAAAAAACTGGACAATTTTCTTGATATCATAATACATTACTTGGAAATTAATGGGTTTCTCATTATCCTTTTTTATCCTATAAAAATTAAAATATATCACAAATACAAAATTTATCTAATTTTTAGGAAAATTATAACTATTTCTTTAATAAAAAGAATAGCTTTTAATTTTTTTTAGCAAGGCTCTTTAAAAACTGTTTTCCATAACGCCCAAATAAAATAATTGTCTCAGAGAGATTTTCACAAAAAAAATAAAAAAAAGTCTTGAAATAAGTCATTAGCCGAGCTCGCTATGATGGTTTCGCTACCTGATGGGAGAGAAAGAATTGGGTGAAGATGATCGGTTGCAAGCCCTTCTATCGCAGAGTGAAAATTTGTGATCGGAGAAGAAAGTGAAACAATTTCAGAATGATTTGAGGGAGAAGAAGTCTATAATGTGGAGTGTTGAACTGCATTTAAATCTGATTTCATGTCCGCAAGCATAAGCACGTAAACCTCTGCTAAACCCTAGTGCCACGATGAAATTTAGATGTCACCTCTCAAGCTAACTACAAATTGGAGCATTATCGACGCCAATTTCTTGCACTTCAGTTCTCAATCTATGTTCAACATAGGTAAATCCTTATCTCTTAATCTGCGAATATTCTGAATAATATCTGACTTTTGTATGTCACATGTGATTTTTTTACCTCAAATTTGTTAAAACCTATTTTCCTGTTACAAGAAAATTAACAACCGCGTTGAACTTTTCATTAGAAACATAACGTTTTGAAGATAATTTAACGATTAAATCTCTGTACTAGTGGTGTATAATTTTTGGGAGAAAGGAAGCGTTCCTTTCGATAAATCCTAAAAAATTAGGGCAAATTGGTAGTACTGATAATAGGCATTAGCAAACTCAAACTATGTCTTTATATAGAAAGAAAAATATTTGTGTATTTTCACATCAGTGATATAACAATTTTTAGAGCTCTCATAAGTCATAACACAACATGTTAAAGACATAAATTGGCTTTCAAGATCTGTAGAAAGGGAATCACTCAAACAATATTAGTTTAAAATCATGCATTGCATATTTGATATTTGAGCCCTAAAAGCTAAAAGATGATCAAGCATAGATAATCCCTTTTATGCCCTTTGAAGTTTACCAAATTGCATGATATAAGATTCTCAATAATTTGTTGTTTTCACCAGGATCCCAAATCAAGAGCCATGTCAATAATTACAAAGTCCAAACGAATTTTCTCCATAGTATTGAATTTGAAGAGCAACAAGAATAATTTATCGAATTTTCTCCATCATCTCATCTTCTTCTATCCTCAGTTATTAGTCCACATCATCATCAACTCCACCGGAAACTGCAGCTGCAGCCACCACAGGTGGTGGTGGACAAGGACAACCATGGAGTTTTCTCAAGTTTTTTTAGTTGCAGAAGTTACTGGTGGTTTCGCTACTGCTGGTTATGACACCTATGGTGAGTGTAGTGGTAAATGGTATATTACCTTATTACCCTTCCTCTGGTTTCTTTATTTTTATGTTGTTAAATGGAAGGAGAAATATAGAAGTGAATCAAATTTAATAGCAAGTTAACAGTTGCAATGTTTTATATCTCCTTTGGAATTTTGCTTATGTGTTTGAGTTCTGTAATCAAGAATAACATAGATTAAATCACACTTTAAATTATTGTAATCGTTTTTATTTATATGAAGTGTGTGTCGCTAAAAAAATAAAAAAAATGTTTGTGTAATATTAAAAAATGTTTGTTTATTAAAATAAAGTAATTAAATTAAGGGTTTATCTTTTTTTTTTTTTTTTTTTTTTTTTTTTTTTTCTGATTTGCAGGTGATATTATAGTGCAGCAAATCAATGGTGGTTTTACTTTCTTTTCCCATTTCATACAAAATTACATAATAAAATACTAGTAAAACCATTGATACGCACACAAGGTGTTTGCATAAATGCTCTAGTGACATTCTGTCTTGTGATTTCTGTTTCTTGTAATTTTGCTTTCTGTGATTTGGTATTGTACATTTGAATGCTCTGTACAAAATATGGTTATATACTTGACATTGATAGATGATTTTGTCTTTTTACTCTTGACTTGATGTTGTCTTGCAATACAATATGGTGTTCTATTGTAGCTTGTAGGTTAACTATCAACTTGGTTTTATCTCAAAAGTGCCATAGTTCATTTCCATTCTCTTAGAATTTAATTAGATACACAATACTTAATACTTAAACTAAGAGTCTAAGATACAAGCGTGCCATAAGATGATTTTTCACCAAAAATGTATATCTTCCTTTGTCTTTTTCTTTTATCTTTCGATTCCGGTCTGGTTTGGACAGGTTCTGAACCGGCGATTGAGTCTTGACCATATCAGTTATGCAATACTTAAAAGAACATTTATCATGAGTTTAGAAAACAAACATTTTTTGGAATATTATCTCACAAAAAAGTAATGCAAGCTTTGTCAAAGAAAGTCTTTAATTTATCAGATGTTCTTACTGAAGTTCAATTCCTTGCAAGGGCGAAAGAAAAAATATGGGCTACCCCTTACGAATATTCCTAGTTCTGCCCCTGTGCCTTGCCATTAACTTCGGCGGTTAAAGCATGTCTGAAGCAAGGGCGAAGACGATGAAATATCTCAATTATATCTATAAGGTATGCAGGGGTACTTCACACAGTTATTGCTCAGGTAGTTCTTTAACAGCCCTTCATATTAAAAAATGTACCATTCCAAATCCTGTGGCCACCGCAAAGAGCTTTGGTTTCCTAAAAAACTCGAGAAGAATTTATTGTTGCAATGCAAACTATCGGAGCACTATTGAGTAGCTTGATGCTCTCTGCAAGGATGGAAAGTTAAAGGAAGCGGTGGTGGTTTGGATTTAGTCGAGCAGAAAAACATGTGTTGACATGCCTAGGTTGTTATTATTAATGAAAGAATGTGGAGATTTTCAGGCATTCAAAGAAGCCAAAAAAGTTCATGAATACCTTAAACGGTCAGTATTAAGATGTCATCGTGATGTTTATATTTACAACCAAATCTTAGAAATGTATTCCAAATGTGGTTCCATGGAAGAGGCATATATGATGTTTAATAAAATGCCTCTAAGAAATCTCACTTCTTGGGATACCATGATAACATCGCTTGCTAAAAAAATGGCCATGGAAAAGGCGCAATTGAAATATACAGGAGGTTCAAAAGGTGGGATTAAAGCCTGATAGTCAAATGTTTATTGGTGTCCTCACTGCATGTAGTGTTGTAGGAGACATCAGAGAAGGGCTATTACACTTTGAGTTCGTGATCATGACTTACAATCTTGCTCCATCCATGGATGATTATGCAAGTGTGGTTGATATGCTTGCACTTTGAGTCCGTGATCATGACTTAAATGAAGCATAGAATTCATTGAAAAGATACCAATTGAGCCAAATGTCAAAATTTAGGAAATATTATGAATCAATGTAGGGTTTACGGTGATTTAGAGCTCGGATACCATTGTGTTGAGATGGTTAACCTTCTACAGCCTTCTTGTTTAGATGAACAATCAAGGAAATGCTTGATAACAAACAAAAAGGGAAAACAGAAAGAAAAAAAAAAGAGATCATCAGATTTTAATCTTGTAGATGTTAAAACTAAAGTTCATAAGTATAAGGTCGGTGATACTTCTCACCCTAATCATGAGAAGTTTTATTGTCATCTTCAATTTTAAAACATTTTAAAACAACATATGATAGGTGTTGGGTATGTGGTCGATACTGAATCAGTAGTTTATGATGTGAATGTTGAAGCTAAAGAAGAATCTCCTTTAATATATAGTGAAAGACTTTATCTAATAGAAGCTCTTTTGATTAGTCCAGCCTGTCCACGATATTAATATATAAAAAGCTTCGTGTTTGTACTGATTGCCATAAAGCATTCAAGATTATTTCAGAGATGGTTGGAAGAGAGATCATTGCACGTGATACTAACAAGTTTCAACATGTAAAGAATGGAGTATGTTCTTGTCGAGATTATTGGTGATAATCCAGCTTTTATACTTAATTTGTTTTGGTAATCCTATAAATACCTAGTGTTTTGTTCAGTGTCTATCTATCGATTATCTCAACATTTTCTGAGTGGAGTCATATTTTTATCACTAAGAATCATTTTACAATTGTTTGCTTTTTTCCCATCGAGTGTTATATGGATAAATGATATCTGTGTGCTCTATAAACAAATAATGTTTTTTTTTTTAAAAAAAAATAAAAAAATAAAATGAACCATCTTAATGATTTTACCTTTATGTGTAGAAGTGATACCCACTAAAAATGTCTCTCTAAGAACAATGGTTGATTGGGGTTGAAGGTTGGGACCGGGAAAAAGAAATCCCCTACTTGTGGGTGAACAGGTAAAAGTGAACGGGGTAAAAAGCAATGTCCACATTAAGGGCATAAGCAAAAAAGAAATAACACCTTTGTCCAGTGTGATATATATTGGTGTTTTTTCTTATTTATCTGAGAAACCTTTTATAGTATTGCTGTTGGATATTAATCAAATGGTTTAAATATGAGTATTATGAGAAATCATCATAATAAAGAGCATCTTATTAGTGGGAGGGGAATTTTGGGTTTTTTTTATTATATTTAGTTTGTAGCAACAGATTATTATAAGAGGGTAGTTGGAAGGAGAGGATTATATTTTCTGAAATCTGGTCATGCACCTTAGGAGAGAACTAGACACTCGGAATTCCAGTAAGCATTAGGGTTTCTTGTGTTGTTATTGAGTATTTTCAATCAATACATGAATCTCTCTCTCTCTCTCTCTCTCTATATATATATATATATATATATATATATATATATATATATATATATATATATATATATATATATATAAACACACACACACACCTGACTTTTAAGTAGAAATCAACAACAAAAAACAATAATCAATAGTTTATTGTATTGATTGAAAGTACTCAAAAACAACACAAAAAACTCTAATGCTTACTGGAATTTCGAGAGTCTAATTCCCTCCCAAGGTGCAGGACCAGATTTCAGGAAAATATAATATTTTTTCCTTCCAACTACCCTCTTATAATAATTTGTTGTAATATACTAAATATAATAAAAAAAAAACCCAAAGTTCGCCTCCCACTAATAAGATGCTCTTTATTATGATGATTTCTCATAATACTCCTATCTAGATCATTTGACTAATATCCAAGAGCAATATTATAAAGGCTTCTTAGGTAAGTAAGAAAAAACACCAATATATATATATATATATATATATATATATATATATATATATATATATATATATATATATATATATCATACTGGACACAGGTACTATTTCTTTTTTGTTTGATGCACTTAATGGGAACATTGCTTTTTACCTGCTCACTCACAGATAAGGGGTTTCTTTTTCCCGATCCTAGCCTTTATCCCCAGCCAACCATTATTCTTAGGGAGACATTTTGTAGTGGGTATCACTTCTACATATAAGGGTAAAATCATTAAAATGGTTCATTTTATTTCAAAAAAGAAAACATTCTTTGTTTATTGAGCACAAAGACATCATTTATTCATACAACACTCAATGGGAAAAGAAGCAAACAATTATAAAATGATTCTTACCGATAAAAATATGACTCCATTCAGAAAAATGTTGAGATAATCAATAGATACATAGTGAACAAAACACTAAGTATTTATAGGATTACCAAAACAAATTAACTATAAAAGTTGAATTACCACCAATAATTTCGACAAGAACATACGCCATTTTTGCATGATGAAACCTGTTTGGTATCATGTGCAATGATCTCTCTTCCAACATCTTCGAAATAATCTTGAGTGTTTTATGGCAATCAGTACAAACACGAAGATTTTTATATATTAATACTCGTGCACGGCCTGGACTAGTCAAAAGAGCTTCCACTAGATAAAGTCTTTCGTTGTGTATTAAAAGAGGTTCTTCTTTAGCTTCAATGTTCACCACATGAACTACTGATTCAGTCTCGACCACATACCGGACACCTATCATGTGTTGTTTTAAACATTGAAGATGACGGTAGAATTTCTCATGATTAGGGTGAGAAGTATCACTGGCCTTATACTTATGAACTTTGGTTTTAACACCTACAAGATTAAACACTGATGATTTCTTTTTTCTTTCTGTTTTCTTTTTTTGTTTGGTATCAAGCCTTTCCTTGATTGTTCATCTAAACAAGAAGGCTGTAGAAGGTTAACCATCTCAGCACAATGGTATCCGAGCTCCAACTCACTGTAAACCTTACATTGATTCATGATATTTTTCTAAATTTTGACACTTGGCTCAATTAGCATCTTTCAATGAATTCTAATGCTTCATTTAAGTACCCTGCACTCCCAAGCGTATCAACCACATTTGGATAATTATCCATGGATGGTGCAAGATTGTAAGTCTTGATCGTGGATTCGAAGTGCAATAGCCCTTCTCTGATATCTCCTACAACACTACATGCAATGAGGACACCAAGAAACATTTGATTATCAGGCTTTAATCCCGCCTTCTGAACCTCCTGAATATTTCAATTGCGTCTTCTGCGTGACCGTTTTTAGCAAGCTATGTTATCATGGTGTCCCATGAAGTGAGATTTCTTCGAGGCATTTCATTAAACACCATATATGCCTCTTCCATGGAACCACATTTGGAATACATTTCCAAGATTTGATTGTAAATATAAATATCATGATGAGATGTTAATATTGACCATTTAAGGTATTCATGAACTTCTTTGCTTTTTTTGAGTGCCTGAGAATCTCTGCATTCTTTCATCAACAATAACAACCTAGGCATGTTATAACAACTCTGTGAATGATTTTGTATCTGATTATCTTGATTACAGAGGAGAATTAAACAATATATATACAAAGATTTCACTCAACTGATTCCTAAATATTAGGTAAAGCTATCGACTAACATGTGGGACTTATGTACACGTGTGTTTGACAAAGTAAGAGTACCGTTATCACCCCCCTGCAAGCTCATGGGCAGAACGCACCTGAAGCTTGTGTCGAATGGATGTGAATCGATCCTTGTGCAGAGGTTTCGTAAAGATGTCAGCAACTTGATCAACAGAGGACACATGTGAGATGTGTAATTGTTTGGATTCAACTT